CAGACCAAGACCCAAGACCCAGACCAAGACCAGACCCAGGACCAAAACCAAGACCAAGACCCAAGACCAAGACCCAGACCCAGACTAAAACCAAAACCAAGACCCAGACCAAGACCAAGACCAAAACCAAGACCAAGACCAAGACCAAGACCAAGAGGAGAACAAACTGTCAGGAGGAAAACAAACTCTGGGGCTGAAAAAAAAAAGAACCTAAGAACATAAATTATCAGGAAAAACAAAAGAACCTGATTGGACGATTACGGCTCTAGTGTCCGTTGTGTCCTTTGGCAACACACTTCCCCACATCCCCTGTGTGTGTGTGTGTGTGTGTGTGTGTGTGTGTGTGTGTGTGTGTGTGAGTGTGTGTGTGTGTGTGTGTGTGTGTGTGTGTGTGTGTGTGTGTGTGTGTGTGTGTGTGTGTGTGTGTGTGTGTGTGTGTGTGTGTGAGTGTGTGTGTGTGTGTGTGTGTGTGTGTGTGTGTGTGTGTGTGTGTGTGTGTGTGTGTGTGTAGTGTGTGTGTGTGTGTGTGTGTGAGTGTGTGTGTGTGTGTGTGTGTGTGTGTGTGTGTGTGTGTGTGTGTGTGTGTGTGTGTGTGTGTGTGTGTGTGTGTGTGTGTGTGTGTGTGAGTGTGTGTGTGTGTGTGTGTGTGTGTGTGTGTGTGTGTGTGTGTGTGTGTGTGTGTGTGTGTGTGTGTGTGTGAGTGTGTGTGTGTGTGTGTGTGTGTGAGTGTGTGTGTGTGTGTGTGTGTGTGTGTGTGTGTGTGTGTGTGTGTGTGAGTGTGTGTGTGTGTGTGTGAGTGTGTGTGTGTGTGTGTGTGTGTGTGTGTGTGTGTGTGTGTGTGTGTGAGGGGTCAGTCTGCCCCAGGGCGACTGCGGCGACGAGAAGAACGAGAGAGAAAAGAACGACATGAAAACACGAGGACAGGAGGGGGCGTGGTCACAGGGGGCGTGGTCACAGGTGTGCAGGGGGTGTGGTCTCAGGTGTGCAGGGGGCGTGGTCACAGGAGCGTGGTCACAGGTGTGCAGGGGGCGTGGTCACAGGTGTGCAGGGGGTGTGGTCTCAGGTGTACAGGGGGTGTGGTCTCAGGTGTGCAGGGGGCGTGGTCACAGGGTGCAGGGGGTGTGGTCACATGTGTGCAGGGGCGTGGTCACAGGTGTGCAGGGGGCGTGGTCACAGGTGTATAAGGGGCGTGGTCACAGGTGTACAGGGGGCGTGGTCACAGGTGTGCAGGGCGGAACAGGGGGCGTGTCAGGGGGCGTGGTCACAGGTGTGCAGGGCGGATCAGGGGGCGTGTCCGGGGGCGTGGTCACAGTGAGTAGAGTTTGAGTTGTTCCTCCATTTCTCCTTCACTCATTTCCTGACTCTCCCTGAGAAGAAGGAAAATGGCCGCCAACTGCTCCTGCTGAACCCTGAGAGAAAAACAGAGAGAAGAAGAAGAAGAAGAGAGAGAAGAGAAGAAGAGAAGAAGAAGAAGAGAGAGAAGAAGAGAAGAGAGAAGAAGAAGAAGAAGAGAAGAGAGAGAAGAAGAGAAGAGAGAGAGAGAGAAGAAGAGAGAAGAAGAAGAGAGAAGAGAAGAAGAAGAAGAAGAAGAGAGAAGAAGAGAGAGAAGAGAAGAAGAGAAGAGAGAGAAGAAGAGAGAGAGAGAAGATTTTTACTTTTTTTTTTATCTTGGTGTGATCATAAACATCCAGTACACACACACACACACACATACACATACATACACACATACACACACACATACACACACATACACATACATACACACATACACATACATGTGTGTGTATAAACATTATATTGAGTGTGTGTACTGGTATCTATGATGTGTTTATGTGTGTATGTACATGTGTGTGAACATGTACATGTGTGTGAACATGTACATGTGTGTATGTGTGTATATGTTTGTGTGTGTGTGTGTGTGTGTTTTTCTGCACAGTTACAGGTGAAAACTCCAAAGATGTTTAAAAAAAGAAGCAGGTGATGATGTGAACAGTTGGGTTTGATTCTCTCTGTTTTTTCTTTCTTTCCATTCAGACGTTTCACATTTACAACAGTTAAACATCGACGACACCGACTCCACATCCACATTTATGAGCTTTTTTACCCGTCCATGTTGAGACTGTGGAAGAACGACTCCACACAAACGACCTGACGGAAGTACAAAGTACTGACGGAAGTACAAAGTACTGACGGAAGTACAGTACAGAAGTACAAAGTACTGACGGAAGTACAAAGTACCGACAGAAGTACAAAGTACTTTTGTTGTTTACAAAGGATAAAAATAGTTTCTTGGAGAATCACATGAGAAAAGTGCTGTTGTTCTGTCACTGTAAAACTGTTACACTGAGATAAATGTTTCATTGTTATAAAAAGTGATGAACATAAAGTTTGTGTTTAAATCATGTTCAGTTTCAGTGTGAATTTATCACTGGACCAAATCTGGAACATCCCCCGACACACGACATGTGAAGGTCTCAAACTAAAACATCAGGGTTGTAAATATTACTGCACATATGATCATTTACCCCAAATATCAGATTTTTTCCTTTTATTAAATTTAATTTGAGCCTGAGAGGATTTTAAACTTCCTCCTGGTCGTCGTTTTGAGCTCCAGGTCCCAGTGTTCATGAACACGTCTCTGTTTTTGGTTTTGTTTTTGTATTTTTGTTGTACCTGCAAAAACTAATAAATAAATGAATAAAAGAAAGTTCAGGAAACACTGAAGGTCCCTCTGGTCCTGAATGTGTCAGATGCCCTCCCCGTGTCCCCCCTGTCTCTCTGCGTCTGTGTCCCCGTGTCTCTCTGTGTCTCTGTGTGTCTCTGTGTCTATGTGTGTCTCTGTGTGTCTCTGTGTCTCATGTGTGTCTCTGTGTCTCTGTGTGTCTCTGTGTGTGTCTCTGTGTGTCTCTGTGTGTGTCTATGTGTGTCTGTGTGTGTGTGTCTCTGTGTCTCTGTGTGTCTCTGTGTGTCTCTGTGTCTCTGTGTGTCTGTGTGTCTGTGTGTGTGTGTGTGTCTCTGTGTGTCTGTGTCTCTGTGTGTCTGTGTGTCTCTGTGTGTGTCTCTGTGTGTGTGTCTCTGTCTGTGTGTCTCTGTGTGTGTCTCTGTGTGTCTGTGTGTCTCTGTGTGTCTCTGTGTCTCTGTGTGTCTCTGTGTGTCTGTGTCTCTGTGTGTCTGTGTCTCTGTGTGTCTCTGTGTCTCTGTGTGTCTGTGTGTCTCTGTGTGTCTCTGTGTCTCTGTGTGTCTGTGTGTGTCTCTCTGTGTGTCTCTGTGTGTCTGTGTGTCTCTGTGTGTCTGTGTGTGTCTCTGTGTCTCTGTGTCTCTGTGTGTCTCTGTGTGTCTCTGTGTGTGTCTCTGTGTGTCTCTCTGTGTGTCTCTGTGTCTCTGTGTGTGTCTCTGTGTCTCTGTGTGTGTCTCTGTGTGTCTCTGTGTGTCTCTGTGTGTCTCTGTGTCTCTGTGTGTGTGTCTCTGTGTGTCTCTGTGTGTCTCTGTGTGTCTGTGTCTCTGTGTGTCTCTGTGTGTGTGTCTCTGTGTGTCTCTGTGTGTCTCTGTGTGTCTCTGTGTCTCTGTGTGTCTCTGTGTGTCTGTGTGTCTCTGTGTCTCTGTGTGTCTCTGTGTGTCTCTGTGTGTCTCTGTGTGTCTCTGTGTGTGTCTCTGTGTGTCTCTGTGTGTGTCTCTGTGTCTCTGTGTGTCTCTGTGTCTCTGTGTCTGTGTGTCTCTGTGTCTGTGTCTCTGTGTGTGTCTCTGTGTGTCTCTGTGTGTCTCTGTGTGTCTCTGTGTCTCTGTGTGTCTCTCTGTGTGTGTCTCTGTGTGTCTCTGTGTGTCTCTGTGTCTCTGTGTGTCTGTGTGTCTCTGTGTCTCTGTGTGTCTCTGTGTGTCTCTGTGTGTCTCTGTGTGTCTCTGTGTGTCTGTGTGTCTGTGTGTCTCTGTGTCTCTGTGTGTGTCTCTGTGTCTCTGTGTCTCTGTGTGTCTCTGTGTGTCTCTGTGTGTCTCTGTGTGTGTCTCTGTGTGTCTCTGTGTGTCTCTGTGTGTCTGTGTCTGTGTGTCTCTGTGTCTGTGTGTCTCTGTGTGTCTCTGTGTGTCTCTGTGTGTCTCTGTGTCTCTGTGTGTCTCTGTGTGTCTCTGTGTCTCTGTGTCTCTGTGTGTCTCTGTGTCTCTGTGTCTCTGTGTGTCTCTGTGTCGTCTCTGTGTCTCTGTGTGTCTCTGTGTGTCTCTGTGTCTCTGTGTCTGTGTGTCTGTGTCTCTGTGTGTCTCTGTGTCTCTGTGTCTCTCTGTGTGTCTCTGTGTCTCTGTGTGTCTCTGTGTGTCTCTGCTGTGTCTGTGTGTCTCTGTGTGTCTCTGTGTGTCTCTGTCTCTGTGTGTCTGTGTGTCTCTGTGTGTCTCTGTGTGTCTCTGTGTCTCTCTGTGTCTCTGTGTCTCTGTGTGTCTCTGTGTGTCTCTGTGTCTCTGTGTGTGTCTCTGTCTGTGTGTCTCTGTGTGTCTCTGTGTGTCTGTGTCTCTGTGTGTGTCTCTGTGTGTCTCTGTGTGTCTCTGTGTGTCTCTGTGTCTGTGTCTGTGTCTCTGTGTGTCTCTGTGTGTCTCTGTGTCTCTGTGTGTGTCTCTGTGTGTCTCTGTGTGTGTGTGTGTGTGTCTCTGTGTGTCTCTGTGTGTCTCTGTGTCTCTGTGTGTCTCTGTGTGTGTCTCTGTGTGTCTGTGTCTCTGTGTGTCTCTGTGTCTCTGTGTGTCTCTGTGTGTGTCTCTGTGTGTCTCTGTGTGTCTCTGTGTGTCTCTGTGTCTCTGTGTGTCTCTGTGTGTCTCTGTGTCTCTCTGTGTCTCTGTGTCTCTGTGTCTGTGTCTCTGTGTGTCTCTGTGTGTCTGTGTGTCTCTGTGTGTCTCTGTGTCTCTGTGTGTCTCTGTGTCTGTGTGTAAAATCTGCAGACCTGAAGTTTGGACCAAACTCTTTCTAACTTCTTTCTTTGACTCAAAAGTTGTTTAATAAAAATAAGAAAAGAAGCAGGAGACAGATTTGGACAAAAGTCTTTATTTGTCCCGCGGTGACACTCTTTCACTGTAAACACATTCACTATTTCAAATTCAAATTCCCCAAATCCCAAATCCTGAAACTGGGTTCATGTTTCACACGATCAAAGCCTCAAACTCAAACGCCACAACTTCACTTCAGAAAAAAAAGAGAAAAGAGAAAAGTCGTTTAAATAAAGTCAGAGAGAAAAGTGTGAATCGTTTGAACGGGACCAGATTTGTCCTTTAGAAAAGTCGGAAGTGTAAACGTGCGATTCTCAGACGGAGGTTTGTGAAGTTAAAGCGAAGCAAATGTTTCATGCATCAAAATAAAAAGGATCGATTCATAAATTATTAAATATTAAAGACTCCGGCGTTTGAGTCGGTGAAGTCGTCTTTTTACACAATAAACAGTTTGAAAAGTGAGTTCGCCGAGAAACGACCAAACCCACGTCCCGGTTCTGCTTCGTCTGAGTCTGAAACTGAAACTGAAACTGAAACAAAAACGCTCCAAATGTGTCAATGTGACGTCAAATTTAATCTACATTTTCAAAAGTGTCTGAACATTTAGATCCAAGTCATTTAAACTGAAGACTCAAGACAAAAACAGAACT